CGACGTCGGGAATAGGGAACTATTAGCTATTGTGATGGCATTTAAAGAGTGGAGGTACTTATTAGAAGGAGCTAGACACAAAATCCTGGTTATAACTGATCATAAGAATCTCTCCTATATAGCTAATGCTAAAAGGTTGTCCTCTCATCAAGCCAGATGGTCCTTATTTCTTTCACGCTTTCAGTTCATTATAACTTATAGGCCTGGGTACCGTAATGTCAAGGCTGATGCCATCTCCCGACAATACGAAACTTTGGAGTCTATCACCCCCACTCCTGAACCCATTGTACCCACGTCTAAGATAATAGCTGCTACCCGTTTAGTTATTTCGTCTCTTTTTCTTGATGGTATCAAGGCATACCAAACCCAAGCACCCTCTGAGACACCTGCTGGTAGATTACATGTGAAAGAGAAAGATAGAAAGAAATTATTAGCTTTATTTCACACCGCCAAAACGGCTGGCCACCCAGGGGTCACCAAAACATACAAGGGTCTCCTTCAACAGTTTTGGTGGCCTTCACTTAAGCAAGACGTGGTGGATTATGTGCAGGCTTGTCATGTTTGTGCACAGTGTAAGTCCCCTAATGTCAAACCCCCGGGACTCCTAATGCCTTTATCCGTACCCAAGAAACCATGGACCCACTTATCCATGGACTTTATTGTGGATCTTCCTTCATCCGATGGAATGACGGTAATTTTGACCGTGACGGATAGATTCTCTAAAATGGCACACTTTATTCCACTTAAGAAACTACCTTCTGCGGTTCAGTTGGCTCAGGTTTTTGCCAAAGAGGTTTTCCACTTGCATGGTATACCACAGGATATTGTATCTGACAGGGGTCCTCAATTTGTCTCTCGGTTTTGGAGGGGCTTTTGTGCTGAGATGGGGATTTCCTTGTCGTTTACTTCCTCCTATCATCCACAATCTAATGGAGCGGCCGAACGGGCGAATCAATCTGTGGAGTTATATTTACGTTGCTTCACGAATGCACACCAGGACAACTGGTCTCGCCTCCTTCCTTGGGCTGAATTCGCCAGGAACACTGACTCATTCGTCCACTGGCTTAAGTCCTTTTATGGTTGCTTATGGGTTCCAACCCTCTGTCCTTCCCGGTGTGTTCTCCGACAAGGGAATACCCGCTTTGGACAAGCACCTCACCTCCTTACGGAAGATGTGGGATCAGGTCCATGCTACTCTTTCTCGTGCGGCTACTACTCAGAAAAAATTTGCTGATCGTCGTAGGGGTACTGCTCCCTCTTATGTCCTGGGTGATAGGGTTTGGTTGTCCTCTAGGAATCTCCGCCTCAGGGTCCCCTCAATGAAATTCGCGCCCAGTTTCCATGGCCCCTATAAGGTATTACGTAGGGTCAATCCTGTGTCCTACTCCCTGGCCTTGCCTCCTTCCATGCGTATACCGAACACTTTCCACACCTCCCTTTTGAAGCCCCTGCTCTGTAATCGATTCTCTGGTCCTCTCAGGCGTCCAGATTCCCTCCGCGCTGTCTCTAATGACGTTTACGAAGTAGCTGCTCTGCTTGATTCTCATTTTTCTCGGGGTCGGTTGCAGTATCTGGTTGATTGGAAGGGTTACGGCCCTGAGGAGCGGTCCTGGGTTTCTGCCTCTGACTTGAATGCGCCCTCTTTGATCCGCTCCTTTCATGCGCTGTTCCCTTCGAAGCCTTCGGCTTCCCGCCCCTTGGGCGGGCCTCGAGGGGGGGGTTATGTCAGGGATCCGCGGAGGGGAGGCTGCACGCCACTTGCAGCACTCACCCTCAGTCCATCGCCGCCCGCGGTCTCCCCTCTGCTTACCTGTCGGCGAGCGGCGTCTCCTCTGTGCCGCTCGCCGCCAGCGTCCTCCACGCCCCCCAGCGGCAGCATGTATAACGCTGCACGCTGGGAGGTCCAGGAGTTAAGTAAACGCCGGGGTCACGTGAGTGACCCGGCGTTAAAGAAACAGTACCACAATCACAGTGGGGGTATAGATATCCCCCACGTGTGATTGTTAATTCTGATTGGAAGTTATCCAATCAGAATTAAACCTAGGGTATTTATACTTACCTTTCCTGTCCCTCAGTGCCCTGTTGTGGTCTTGTGATACCTGTAGCGTAGTGTTCTCGTCTTGCTCTCGATTACTTGGCTCGTTATTCCGATTATCCTGTCTTCTCCACTCCTTTGACCTCGGCTTGTTTCTCGTTCTCCTGTTTTCTGGCTCCCTTTACCTGGCTTGTCTCCTGACTAGTCCTAGCGTGCTTAGCCCGGCCACTCTAAGGTCCGGTACGGCACCTTTTCTGTGTGTGTGTGTGTCAGCGTGTTAGGTTCGCCGAATCGTGACACCAAACACCAGCAACTCAAGTGACGCCATGCGCATCTGGTTCCTGGGGTCCATGAGTCCCAAAGGAGTTTCTGAGCAGTAGCCAAAAGGCCTGAGACATTCCAAGATCCCCTGAAATGGTCCAAACCATGAGTCGGAGATGATCCTAAATTGCCAACGGGTGAAAGTTGCCTGCCGGGTCCCTGAGGAGATCGCAGGAGGTTGGTAGAAGCAGGGGAAAATCCACTGACATTTCCAGGAGGTAAGGGTACCATGGTTGGGCCCGCCATAGGGGGGTCACTAGAGTTATCTTCACACCTTGAGTTTTGAGGTACTGTAGTGTGCGTGGAATCATGGAGAATAAAGGGAACGCATATGCTCCAGACATCGGCCACGTCTGTAAGAAGGCATCGACTGCAAGGCACGCTGGATCTGGTAGCCAGCTGAAAAATGCGTCTGTCTGACGGTTGAGACGAGATGGAAACAGATCTAGGTTGAATGGTCCCCACCAGATCTGGAGATGGTGAAAGATCTACGGGTCCAGTTGCCAATCGCTGGAATCTCTCCAGTGTCAGGAAAACCAGTCTGCAACGAGGTTGTTTGCTCCTGGTAGATATTCCGCTCAAAGGAAGATATTCCTGTCTAGGCAGAACTGATATAATTCCTTTGTCAGGTCCGAAAGCATCTTTGATTTGGAACCTCCTAGATGATTCACATAGCGAACCGCTGACAAATTGTCCATCTTCAGCACCACGGAACAATTGTAGACATCCATGGCGAAACTGCGAATTGCAAAGGAACCCGCAATTAGTTTGAGGCAATTGATATGAAGCGCTCGTTCCGAATTGGAACAGAGTCCTCCAGTAGAATTTTCCGAGCAAGTTGCGCCCCATCCGAGAAGGCTTGCATCCGATTCCAGAATTAAATCGGTTTGGGATCCGAAGATGGCTCTCCCATTCCAAGCTTCCATAAGATGTAGCCACCAATGGAGTTGTAGCCGGACTTTGTCTGTGAGTGAGATCTGCTGATCGTAGGGTGTCAACTGATGTAAATATTATGTTTTCAGGCGCTGCAGTGCTCGGTAGTGTAACGGGGAATCCCAGGAATTGTACCGTCTGAGACGGAGTGAGAGATGACTTCTGGAGACTGATCACGGAGCCAAGGTTCTGCAACAAAGCGGAGGTCATGGCTGTATGAAGGTGAAGAGTCTCTTGGTCCTGCGCCATGAGGAGGATAGCGTTCAGATAAACGATGGACTGGATTCCTTGGGAACGCAGTAATGCCATTACTGGTTTCATTAGTTTGGTAAAGCATCAGGGTGCGGAAGATAGGCCGAAGGGGAGGCAAGTGAATTGCCATAGTTCCTGTTCCCAACTAAACTGAAGGAGGCAGCGGTGGGCTGGTGTTACCGGCACCGTGAGGTATGCGTCCTTTAGATCGAAGTGGTAAAACCAATCTCCCCCGCAGAGTAGGTCTCGCAACAAATAGATTCCCTCCATTTTGAAGTGACGGTATGTGAACCTGTTCCTGAACCTGTTCAGATCTCTCAGATTGATAACAGGTCGTAAGTCTCCTGATTGTTTCTTGACCAGAAACATGTTCAGGAGAAACCCAGATACAGTCTGAAGGATCCAAGGATCCCGGGTGAGTTGAGACCACTGTTGGGAAAAAAGGGTTAACCGGCCTGCAATAGGAATATGAAAATAAGGAAGGTCCATTGCCTGTAGCAGTGCGCCTGCGGAGGGAAGCAGATCCTCATCCTCGGATAGCTCCGCGAGAGGGGAAAAACTGCCTGTGGTGGAATCGGGTATTGCCCAAGTTCCAGGTGTCCGATGGTCAAGGCCTGTAGCCCGTGAAGGCGACTCTGCCAGTCGCTCGGCCTCTGTAACAACCAGCTCTCCTAGAAAAACGTTGTGTGTGAAACACCTTGTGAATGGAGGATTGCGCTTTTGTTAAATACGAAGACCTGTTTACTTAGTTCTTTTAAGAACTTGTCTCCGAATAACATGCCTTGAGCCTCATGACCAAGTTCTTTAATGCCCAATTTGGCAAGATTGGCATTGATTTTATAAAGAACGGCTTTCCGCCATTCCGTCGAGACTGCCACATTGGCATTGCCTAAAAAGCATAAAGCCCTTTGTGCCCACTCTCGCACCATATGTGCGTCAAAGGTGCCACCTGTCAAAGCCTCGTCTGCGATAATGAAAATCTGTATAAGCGGGCCCTCCACATCCATAAGTTTGTCCTGAGTGGCTTTCAGGCCTTGTTCTTAACCCTTACTTGGGTCTTTCCCTGACTTGGTCAGAAACGTAACAAGGAAGGGGTCAAATTCAGGTGTAATTGCTACCTTGTTTGGGATGATGGGTTGTGGGCATTCTGCCCTTAATTTGGCTCTCACCTCGTTTTCTAAAGGCCGACGGAGCCACATATTACAGTATTTGGCAATGTGGTCCGGAGGTGTCCATTCGGCAGATCTAGGATGCCTGATGCATATAGGGTCAAATAAGGGACAGCCAGCAGCGTCAAATAGGGTATCATCTGAGTTAGGGTCAGGGATTAGGTTAGACTCCAAGTGGAATTCCTGTTGTGGCATGAGGGAGGACTCATTAGCGAATCTAGAAGAGGAAAGATCTCGGGATGTCTTATCAGGTGGAGGATCCTCATCCGAATACCCTGCATACTGTTCATCTACCACCCGAAGATGATAATTAGAGGTTGAACCCTCAAGTGGGTCAAAATCATGTTGGGAGACAGCTTCCCTGGATTTAGAATAGGAACTCTAGGGTTTTTGTCAGGCGCTTTGCCTTTACCGGCAGTAGCGCTATCACTCTTCCAAGGGTGTTTGCGAGGGGCTTCGTTGCGGTCCAAACCATGAGAATCCTCGGAGTCTGACAGTTGGGTAATGGTCGCCGTAGGGGCTGGGACTGTCTGCTCACGGAAAGCCGCTAGAGCCTTGGGTATGGAGTCGGCAATGGCATTGTATAGCCATGCCTTAAGTTCAGCAGAAACTGCTGGTTTGGGTAAATCAGACATAATGTCAGTAACAGTGGGGTACCATTATAAAATATTATTTGTATTTTTTTAATTATTTTTTTTTAAATATATCTAATATTTTTTTTTTTTTTTTTTTACTTATGCAGACCAATTATTTACAAAGAGGCAGTGGACTTAAACAGGATGTAAAATGCAGAAAACTAATAAATGAATTATCCTGTAAATAAACTGGGGTTCATCCACAGCTTATCAGTGGGGTTCACCCAGAGAGAAAATGACAATATAACGTTCAAAATCAATGACAGGTATGTACCTGTGTAATCATATAGGGGGTTACCTTGTATTAGAGGCAAATAGGGGGTCACCCTTAATGTAGAAGTCCAGAGGGGGTCACCCTCAAAATAGAGGCTAGAGTGGGTCACCCTCAGAATATAGGCTAGAGGGGGTCACCCTCAGAATAATGCAAGGGTTTTTAAACACTTTGTTTTTTTATATTGGGAATCTGTAAAAAGAAAAAAACTGATATTTTGAGTATGAGGGGTGTATACCTGTAATTAAACTATAGAGGGCTTTAAGAACGAAAATTATACTTACCGAACGGCTGGGTCGCGTTTACAGTGAAGAGCCAAAACGGAACGAAACCGCCGCACAGAACCCGTCCACAAGATGGCGCTGAGTCAAAAGCGCGGGGAAAAGGTAATAGAAATGGGCGTGGACATAGAAAAAGGGCGGGACGCGTCTCTATGGAGACCTAGGGGAAACAACTGTGCGCAGGGAAAACTGAGCAGCTGAACGGACCGGCAAGATGCCGGGAGCCGCTGCAAAGACTGTCAGTGCTCAATTAAACGCACAGAGCACAATTCAGAATAGTATATGAAGTACAAAGTTGTGGGCTGACTAGAATGACAGCACACTATTAGGGTAATAAAAGGAAACAAGAAATACCAAAGGAGATTAGTTTTAAAGCTAATCTGCATTACGTGTAAATAAAATAAAAATAAAAAAACTATATTTATTATATTTAAATGATTATAGTCAGCTAAAGAGCATTAATAAGGGTATAATTAGAATAGACTCACCTGGGAGGCTAAGCAGCAAAGAAAGAGGAGTTGGGAGGAACCTGATGGCAGTTTATATTACTGTGATGCATGCTGATTGGTTAAACTTTTTTACACTGATTGTTAACTACTTCTTTGCTGCTGGGAGTTACAGTAAAGCAAATATGAAGCCTCCTGTATTGCCATAAAATTTAAACGTAGAAGTGCTCTTCTTGTAGCAGTGGTGGAGCGCCCAATTAGAACACTATTCTGTAGCCATAAGTGAATATAAGTCAACATTAATAGATGGGCTACTGAACGGTTATATAAGCATAACCTGTTATCACGCAACAATAGGCAACAATAGGCAACAATAGGATCCTTTCATTGTTTTACTCATTCTTTATTTTGCAGGTTATCATGCCATGATTCTCCTGATACTGCCCCACTGTTAGGTGTCAAACCATTTCTAAAATGTCTGACACTTACCTTGTTCCCTTTCCCTTTTACAAATATCAGTTTTCTCAAACGTTCGATATTATTCATTGTACTTGTCTTAAAGGTTCTACATACTTACAACTGATGATTTTTGTTTTCTTAAAGGAGAACTGTTATCACAAAACAATTTCTTTTAATATAAGGATCCGTTCAAATTTTGAAAGCAAGTATATTCTTCGTAAGTTAAAGGAACACTCTAGGGTCAGGAATACAAACATGTATTCCTGACCCTACAGTGTTAAAAACACTATTTAAGTCACCAGCCCACCCTTTCCCCCCCTTGAATAAGTAGTTTACTTATCTTTAAGATAATTTCCAATCTCAGCCAATCCAATGCTTTCCCATAAGAAAGCAGTGTTAACATGAAATTGCCTGTTGGGACTGACTATACTCACCCTTTAAGTATATGTGGGGGAATGAGACACTTGAGGGAGCTGGGAGAATGAGACACATGAGGGGGCTGGGAGAATGAGACACATGAGGGGGCTGGGAGAATGAGACACATGAGGGGACTGAGGGAATAAGACACATGAGGGGTCTGGGAGGACGAGACACATGAGGGGTCTGGGAGGACGAGACACATGAGGGGACTGGGAGGATGAGACACGAGGGGGCTGGTAGGATAAGACACATGAGGGGACTGGGAGAATGACACACATGAGGGAGCTGGGAGAATGCGACACGTGGGAGGCTGGGGGAATGAGACTTATATTATGGGTGCTGGAGGGGAATGAGCACATCAAGAGGCTTTGGGGGAATGAGACATTTGGTGGGGTTTGAGGAGAGGAATTGAGGCACATGGGAGGCTGGGGGAATGAGGCGTGTGGGGGAGATCAGCTGCATAGAGGGGCTTGGGGGGACACAAAGCAACATCAAAGGGCTGGGGGAGAAAGAGACAATGTGCTGGGGAAAAGAGACACAGCAATGGGGCTGTGGAGAGAAAGAGACGCCCAGAGGGGCTGGGGGGACACAAGAGACACAGAGGGGCTGGGGAAGGGACAGATAGAGGCTTTAACTTCATTATAAAGTTCATTATATTTTAGTTGTGTCGCCTGAAATCTACTGGAGATTTAGTTGACTAAAACTAGACTAAAACAAAAACCATTCAAATCAATAAAATATGACTAAAACTAAAATGGTGTTTTAGTCAAAAGACTATGACTAAAACTGAATTGAATTTTGCAGAACAAAATTACCACTAATTGGTACCCTTTTAGTCATTACCTTTTGCTACCTCCCTTTGCCAAGATAATAGCTCTGAGTCTTCTCCTTTAATGCCTGATGATGTTGGAGAATTCATGGCAAGGGATCTGAGACTATTCCACCATACAGAATCTCTCAAGATCCTACAAAATTAGAGATTGACACTGGTGGACTCTCCTATTTACCCCACAGACTATTTTATGGGGTTCAAGTCAGGGGACTGTGATGGCCATGGCAGGACCTTGATTTTTTAGTCAGCAAACATTTTTGTGTGGATTTTGATGTATGTTTTGGATCACTGTCCTGCTGGAAGATCCAACCATTTAAACCTTTCTGACAGAGGCAGTCAGGTGTACATTAAATATCTATTGATATTTGTTAGAATCCATAATACCATGTTTCCTAACAAAATCTCCAGGCCCCCTGGCAGAAAAACAGCCCCAAAACAATAAAGAGCCACTACCATATTTAAAGGGACACTCCAGGCACCCAGACCACTTCTGCCCATTGGAGTGGTCTGGGTGCCAACTCCCACTACTCTTAACCCTGCAAGTGTAATTATTGCAGTTTTTTATAAACTGCAATAATTACCTTGCAGGGTTAACTCAACCTCTAGTGGCTGTCTACTAGACTTCCTGGTTTTTAGCACGCTATGTGAGGACCTCCAGGGTCGCTCATTTCCCCATAGGAAAGCATTGAAAAGCATTTTCAATGCTTTCCTATGGGGAGCGCTAATGCGCATGCGCAGCATTGCTGCACATGTGCATTAGGTCTCCTCGGCCGGTGGGCGGGATCAGTCTCGCCCACCGGCTGACGCAACCAGAGGGAGGAGCGGCACGGAGGGAGAAGCAGCGACGTGGGACATCGTCGCTGCCTCAGGTAAGTCACTGAAGGGGTTTTCACCCTTTCAGCAACCGTGATTGGGGGGTGGGAGGGAGAGGGGACCTGCAGTGCCAGGAAAACGGATTGTTTTCCTGGCACTGGAGTTTCTCTTTAACTGTGGGCATGAGGTACTTTTCCAAATGACTACCTCTCTGTCTATGCCAAACACACCACTGGTGTTTATTGCCAAAAAGCTCTATTTTGGCTTTATCTGAATATAGAACCTGATCCCATTTGAAGTTCCATTAGTGTCTGGCAACCTGAAGATGCTTGAGTTTGTTTTTGGATGGGTACAGGTTTTTTTCTTGAAGCCCTTCCACACAACATGTGGTGATGTAGGTAACGTCAGATTGTAGTTTTGGAGATTTTCTGACCTCAAGACGCAACTAACTTCTGCAATTCTCCAGCTCTGACACTTGGAGATTTTTTGGCCACTCGAACCTTCTGCTTTACAGTGCATTAAGACAATATAGACACGGTCTCTTCCAGGTTGATTTATAACATTTCCAGTTGACTGAAACTTCTTAAAAGGACACTATAGGCACCCAGACCACTTCTCTCAAACAGAGAACACCCTTACTAAGGGACACAGTGATTCCACATTAACAACGTCCATATTAACCTCTAATCTACTGCATTGCACCAATGGTTGTTTTCCTTTACTTATTTCTTTTAGTTATACGGTTACTACTGTCCATCACTGTTCTTATTGATGATATGACTATTTATGTAGTCCATGACGCAGAGGCACGAACCCTTTCACTTGCTCTTCCTACATTTATTTGATATAAGGCTGAAGAGCTGTTGTGTTATGACAATTATTGAACAGTGTCGCAATTACTATCAATCTGTAAATTCTGTTATGACTCATGTTAGGTTATATAACACAGATATTCCATGAACCTCTGTATCTGTCCAACTGATGTAGTGATGTTTTCTTCATGGCAACTGCATGTAAACTCCTTAATTGCTAAATAAAATGTAAAACAAATAAAAATTACAAAAAAACATCTATTTCCCTCCATTTTCTCTATCCCTTTTTGCTCTCTTGTCCTAGCTACCCTCTTTCAACAGAATATGGCACCCTGTTGTATCTTGCAAAATCCACTCAGCCACTGTATTTGGCTTTAAAGCGGCACTGTCATGCTGAACTTACCTTTATGTCTGCTCTAGTTTTCTTTAAAACATAAGACAAAGTAGGGACTACTGTCCTCCCACCCCGGGCCCCCACCCCTGAGCAGTGGGTGGGGGCCCTAAATGAGAATGTGATGGTGGACCTGTTGTCCTCCCCCTGGCCCCCACCCCTGAGCGGCGGGTTGAGGCCCTAAATAACAATAAGGGGGGGACCTCTTGTCCTCCCCCTGGCCCCCACCCCTGAGCGGCGAGTTGGGGCCCTAAAGAAAAATGGGGGGGAACCTA